GTATGTGGGACACGGCCTCAGCATGGCCGGAGAAGTGGTGCGTCGGTGCGCGCCCGGGATCCGAACCGGGGCTGCCAGCAGCAGAGCGCGTTCACTTAACCGCTAAGCCACGGGGCCAGCCCCTCCCTATTGTTTTAATTAGACCAAAATAGGCATCACCAGACCATCAGTGAAATTTCAAAAAGAGATTGGCACAATTATCAGATAAATTGATTTTAGAAATAGCATTTTGGATGGACTTATGTAAACAAGTAACAGAAGAGAGAGAGAAAGATGAAGAGATTGCGCTGAAACTTCATCATCACAAAAATAAAGCACCTGTTAAGCAACCTGAATTGTGAAAGGCGCTATAATCAAGGTTTTAATTCAATACCTCTTGATCTGCTTTCCTCATTATCTTCATCCACCCTGTCTCCAAGGAAGCTATAGTGACCTTGCAAGTCATCACCCATGCAGAGAAGACTGGGTGCTGAAATCTCTCTCCAGTCCTGACACGAAGGAATACGGATGTGTTTGATATCTTCATTTCCAGGAACGAGGCCAAATAGTTTCTTTAGACGCTGCACGGTGAGGAAGCGGGAGTGCTGCTCTGCAGCGTGTTCAAAGAGCTCCCTCTCATTATGGAGGTGGTTGGTCCAGTAGTAATGCTGCAGAGAGGTGAGGGGAGAGCAGCACCTCGCCAAACAGCAGGAGATCAGAACAGCGATGGTTGCCAAGGTGATCAAAATCCAGCCCAGCATCTTCCCATAATTATTTAAAAGAAAAACAGAAAACATCAATACATCAAATGTTCAAGAAACAGCCATAGTAATAAGGATTCCTACAAAACTGAGAACTAAACTGTGGGTAAGAAATTTATTTTTCTAGTCTTTAACGTATTAACAAGGCGCTGATCATTTGATATGGAGATAGGTGTGATGGGGGGTAGAGGCCCAACCATTTCAGCTTGGTTTTTGGATTACAAAGGATATTGACCAGGTAATTGGAATGGATTCTAAGTACTGTCCTTGAAGTGGCAGAGGCTATAACCCACCAATTACCCTTGCATAAGGTACATAAACTACATTCTTTGCTTTTAGTTCAACTTTACTTTTCAACCGTCAGGTACAGGCTCAAGCAGTCTTTGTGTGCTTAATAAATAATGGATAATGATGGTGATGAAAATGATGACGTGATAGATAATAATGGTAGCTTCCTAAGGTGTCTTCAGTGGCTTCCTAAGGTGCCAACAAGTATTCATTGATATTTCTTCCTGAGTTGCTCTTGCCTTTTATTTTTTGTGACTGAAGAAGAAAGTCAGTGAAAAGACTCTTATGTCCCTACATGTGTAGCACTTTATTACTTTCCTTTTCAATTCCCTCCTCCTTCAAATAGTCACTTGCTGAACAGTTTTATGATTCTTTTTTGAAATGTACTTCGAAAGGAAAATGAACTAGATTTTATTTGCAAATATTTAGTGTCCACTTTTAAAGCCTGATGTAAATGGCTGTTTTCTACTCTTAGTATCTCTTTTTTCCTTTTAATTACTCTTTTTTCAATATTTAGTGGTTGTTATGTAAAGTGAGAAAGACAAGTTCCACACAATTAGGGAAGCCAGCAGTCGGCAGCCACACTCTGGGAGGTGAAGGTTTCTTCCACGGCTTGTGATTCACCGACAGGACTGGAATTACCAGTGTGTGCACAGGGGGATAGCTGCACTCTGTGGAGGTTAAAACCTACAAAGTGATACTCATCGTGATTTAACTTAATAGAGGCCAGCATGGAGGAGGAAAGGCCATCTCAGATGCCCATTAATTCATCAGCTGTCATTTACTGAGCCCCAGGTTGGCCTCCCACCATATGCTGTACGTGGTGCTTGGTTATGGGAACTCAGATGTGAATAATTTAAGAAAGAATAAATTCATTCTTTCCACAGTCTTGAAGCCTAAAGATGGAGACAAAATAGCAAGCCAAGAAATGTGGTAAAATGTGATCGTTTTTGATATGAGTGAACACAGGGCCCGAGGAAGCACAATGGAAGAGAAATGAACTCACTTAAGGGAGAGGAATATCTGGAAACACTTCCCAGGGGAGGTGATGCTCTGATTTAAATTATTAAAGAGGTGTTCACCAGATGCAAGAAATTGAGGAGAGTTCTAATAAGGCAAGAAGACAGAAAATTGAGAGTGTGAAGAGTTGGGAGAACCTCAAGAAGTTTGGATTCACAGGGTCATAGGAATCATGTGGAAAAGTGGTCAGGGGTCAGATGCTGAAGTACCTTGCATGTCATGTCAAGAATTTGGATTCGTGCTTAGGCTGGTAGAAAATCATTGAAGGATTTTATATGATGAGGGGGCATATCGTTCACCATACAATTTGCATTTAGAAAGATGATTTTGGCATGGGTGTAGAAGGTAGATTAAAATGGGGTGAAACTAGTCAGGAAGATATTTTAGAATGATGTATGGGCAGAGAAGGGATTTGAACTTAATATGGTCTTGTGGTCAACTCACAATAATCCTACTTAAAGACAATATTCCTCAAATGAGATTGAAGTTTGAAATAGTCGCAAAAGGCAACCTGGTGAAATGGAAACAGCATGATCTTCGAATATCTCGATCAGCCATTTATTAGGTCTATGAACTTATGAAAGTTACGTAATAAACCTTTGCGCTTTCGTTTTCTCATCTGTAAAATGGGGTTGACTATACCTGTCTCTTAAGATTACGATGATTAGAGTTAAGATAGAAAATATTTACACAGTATATGATAAACATTTCAATAAATATTAGTTTTGTTGTCACTAAACCAAAATATCCACTGGCTGATGGTATTCGGAACAGTAAAACTGTCTTTTCACAGAAGTCTGTGTATGCATTAAGACATTTTATTTTGACTTTAAGAAGATCTTAGTTTTTCTTAAGCAAGAACATTTTTTAAAGTTAATTGCACCGTTGATTATCTGACTTTTCACCTGTCTTCACGTAGCTCCTCTGCCTGAACTTTAGGGCTAGTATAAAAAGGTTGAAACAAAGCCTGTCTTAATGAGATTCCTAATATTGCTTAAACTGGGCCATATGCCACACTTCAATATTCTGAGTGTTGATAGCAATTTTTTTGACTAAATAGCATTAGCACTTGTAAATTGTAATAACTGAAAAGTGATAGGTCAAAAAATGTGAAGCCTTTGCAATAAGTAGTTTAAAAAATAATGTGATTTTATTGTATTGCTGTGGTTTAAAAATGTATTTTTTCCAGGGCTGGCCCAGTGGCACAGTGGTTAAAGTTCACGTGCTCCCCTACAGCAGCCTGTGGTTCGCTGATTCGGATACCAGGCACTGACCTACACACTGCTCATTAAGCCATGCTTTGGCGGCATCCCACATACAAAGTGGAGGAAGATTGGCACAGATGTTAGCTCAAGGGCAATCTTCCTCAACAACAACAACAACAAAAATGTGTTTTTTCCTCAAATCCCTTGGAGAAACTGATGAAAGCCAATGACTCTTTCTCTACTGAGAAAAATGTGCTTTTACACTTTTTAAACTTAACCTCTAAGTGCAATAGGTTCGGGCCTTCACTCCACCTCACGCCACCCCTCACCCAAAGCTGTGTAAGGATGCTAAATTTAGAACCATTATTGGAGTTTATTTTTATTTATTTATTTATTTTTTGGTGTGGAAGATTAGCCCTGAGCTAACACCTGTCACCAATCCTCCTCTTTTTTGCTGAGGAAGATTGGCCCTGGGCTAACATCCGTGCCTATCTTCCTCTACTTTATATGTGGGACGCCTACCACAGCCTGGCTTGATAAGCAGTATGTAGGTCCACACCGGGGAGCCAAACCTGCGAACCCTGGGCCCTGAAGCAGAGCATGCAAACTTAACCACTATGCCATTGGGCCGGCCCCAGGAGTTTATTTTTAATCATAATTAAGCTTCCTCTAATTTTAGATGAGATTTTAATGTACAAGAATGCATATTTAAGAATATATATATGCATAAAGATGAAATTTAGTAATATAGTGATAATAATTTTAATAACAATATCTAAAATTCATTGTTTTCAATATAGATTCTGGACACAGTACTGAGCACTTTAGATGTATTAGCTCATATATTACTCACTGCAACCCTACGTGGTAGATCCTATCAATATCCCCATTTTACAGCACAGAAAAGTGAAGCATGGTTAAGTTATATAACTGGTTTAAGGTTTTGTAGTTAATAAATAGTAAAGCAAGATTCACATCCAGGTCTGCTGACTCCAAAGCCCCACATCCTAACTATATTTACATAGCCGTTCTGCAGCAATCACTTTGATGCATGGCATCTAGTTTGTGTTTCATAATTAGACAATACAAGAAGCAGCAGGAATGTGAAATATTTCTAGTGACTGTAGTTAATATGGGAGAGCATAGCAGAAAAAAGAAAAAAAATCAAGAACTTACTTGTGAGTGGTATCTGTGCAGAAGAGCTACCTCATCTCTTACCAAGATCATGTCAGGTGGAGCTGATTTGCAACACGGAAACCCAGCGAGGATCTCTTTCTGTTTGCTGGCACTGACATTGTCAAACACTGGGTAATGGTCCACAGATGCGAATTCACTTGCTGCACATTCGTAGTAGGTGCCTGTCAGCAGGGTCACCGCCAGCCATGTTAATGGAGCAACGAGCGCTCTCCCAGTGATGCTGAAGAACCTAAGGCAAGCCAGCTTGCGCTCCAGGGGACTGATTCGCCGGTGTGGAGGGGCACAGCTGCAGCAGTATTCACTGGAAATTGTCCACATCTGGCTTCTCAGAGCATAGCCAGCAACCAGAAGGATCAAGGCAGGAATGACCAGAAATGCAGAACCATAATAGAAATTTTTCCCAACCTGACAGGGACATCTGAACGTGAAAGAGGAGAACAGTTGTTGCCCAACAATAGTCAGAGCAGCGATTAAAGAATTGATAAACGTTCCACTCCTCTGCAGAGAAGATACAATACTGTTGGGAGTTGGGCTCATCATTAGGAAGCTCTTGCACAAATCAGCCTGTAGCCCTTCTGAACATTAGACTCCACCAGCTATAACCATTTTATGAGATCTTACTGGTTTAACTGGTTGTGTCAAGCTAGCCAACATCCTTATATGTTTAAAGGAGTCTAGCATCTTTCCTTGTGTACTTTGTGAATCCTGAGCTAATAAATGCACTTCAAATTACTGCTGGAAAAAATTGAAGGAGAGATTCACTTGGTATGAATGAAGGGTAAAACTTCTTCAGTGTGTCTTCCCACTAAAAAGAGGATGGCCTGCTTACAAAGCCAACTCCTGCCATCTTTTCATGTGCTGCTTTGTGTGACACAAAATGCCCAGCACCAGCAAATAGAGCACTGGAAGCAACATAGAGAAAATTCTCGCCTATACTAGACCAGGATTTTGTTACCATAAAATTATGACTAAAGAATGATGGAAATTATCAAGTACTAGAGGGATCCAAAATTTAGGGCTGTCCAGAGTATTTATAACCTAAGAGTTCTTCCAGAAGATCCCACAAGCTTTCCCAAAAGAGAAAAACAAGGCTTGGGTACCCCAAAGCCAAACCACGACAAAGACATTGAAATTTACATGAAAATCTGTTTGTATTGACAGAATCTAATATAATGTGTTGCTTTATAAGTTGCAAATTTGTTTATATGGTATTTTTTGTTGTATGAAAATGTGACATTTGGGTATTAATAAACATATATCTATAAGCAAGAAATAAAATGATCAGCTATGTAAGGTGTTTTCTATATTCATTTAATCAGCAAATATTTATTGTAAAACTGCTATATAAAAGGCACTGGACTAGGCCTGGTTGGACTTATAAAAAGGTGAATAGATATAAATGTCTCTTCTCAAATAAACTCTCAACTAGACATGGTTAAATACATAATTAGCAAATTGAAACATAATGCTGAGGAATTCACCCAAAGCACAGTACACAAAGACAAAGAAATAAAATAATATACTTTAAAAACCAATTAAAGGAAATAGAGGAAAGATTTAGCAACTCCATGATCTGTTTAATAGGAGTTCCAGAAGAAAAAAATGAAGGGATAAGCAGAGAAGCAATATTGGAAGAGAAATAACAGAATTTTGCAGAATCAAAGACATTTCTCACATCAGAAGAGTGTTAGATGTTCTGAGCAGTGTAAATAAAGATAAATCCACGTATAGACACATCATAGAAAAACTTCAAAGTGTGAAAAATAAAGACATATTCTTAAAATCCACCAGAAAGAAGACATACATAACCTACAAAAATCTGATAATAGACTGACAGGAGACTTCTGATTAGTAACAATAGAGACCAGAAGACAATATCTTCCAAGTGCTTAGTACTGGCTGAACTATCACTCAAGACAGAGCAAAATAAAGATAAAGACTAAGGAAATTTACCACCCACAGAACCTTATAAAAAGGATTAATAAAGGATATATTTCAGCAAGGAGAAAAATGAATTCTGAGGAAGGACATATGAGCAAAAAATAACGATAAGTACAAATATGATATTTTAAAAGTTCCTTTAGTTATTAGCTGTAGAAATAACTACATTTTATTTTAAAAGATACAACTAATGCAATACATGGTTATAATAAGATATCACTACTAAAATAGCTAAAATTAAAAAAGACTGACTATACCAAATGTTGGTGAGGATTGCAGACTAACCGGAACTCGCATACACCAATGGTGGGAATATAAAATGGAACAACTCAATTGGAAAATTGTCAGTTTCTTTAAAAGTTAACTACACATCCACCATATAACAGTTATTTATCTTGTAGTTATTTATTCAAGAGAAATGAAAGGACATGTCCACATGAAAATTTGTACATGGATGTCCATAGCAGTTTTATTTACAATAGCTGCAAACTGGAAACAACACAAATGTCCATCAACAGGTGAGTGGATCAACAAATTGTTATATAGCCATATAATAGAATACTATTCAGCAAGATAAAAGGAATAAACTATTGATATATACAATAACAAAGAAGGAATTCAAAATGATTTTCTGAATCAAAGCATTCAAGCAAAGGAGTCCATAAAATATGACTCTATTTATATAAAATTCTAAAAAATTTAAATTAACCTATACTGACAGAAAACAGACCAGTGCTTGCCTAGAAAGTGGGGGAGGAGGAATAGGAAGAAAGAGATTACCAAGGAGCATGAGAAAACTTTTGGGGGTCATATTAATATGTGCTCATGGGATTTTAATTTATGGAGGTGGTGGAGTGATGACACGGGGAGGTCAATGTCATTGAAAGAAGAATTTATTATTTACGTTTACCGAGAGAAGGGGGTATGCCAGGACACACAGGGCCACATGAGGAAGCACCAGGTTTGGTCAGGAGGCAGAAAGGAGGAGTGGAAAGCCTAGGCCAGAGCTTTTATTGGGGTTTCCGTGGGAAAGGCAAGGCAGGCAGGGCAAACAGCTTAGGGCTGGCTAGTTTAAATAATTTTGGTGGGCTTTGGGGATAGGGGCTGTCGCTACTTGTCTGTTGCCTGGTCTTGGGTTGATCTAGAGAAGGGGAAATATTGGTTTGGTCTATGAGAGAGAGACAAGAAGGTAGTTTGGAGTATGCGGTCTGGGTCACAAGGGAGATAGAACTACTTTGGCTGTTAGTGTGGCCTGTAATTAATGGATGTCAATAGACAAAGAATCTGTGATAACACTACTAAAACAGTGGTGATGGAAATGTTAATTATATTGATTGATTTGATGCCTTTGGGTGTGTATACATACATCAAAACTCATCAAATTGTACATCAATTATATTTCAATAAAGCAGTAAAAAATTTTTGTTTTTTTTTTGTGAGGAAGATCAGCCCTGAGCTAACATCCGTGCTAATCCTCCTCTTTTTGCTGAGGAAGACTGGCTCTGAGCTAACATCTATTGCTAATCCTCCTCCTTTTTTTTTATCCCCCTGAAGCCCCAGTAGATAGTTGTATGTCATAGCTGCACATCTTTCTAGTTGCTGTATGTGGAACGTGGCCTCAGCATGGCCAGAGAAGTGGTGCGTCGGTGCGCACTCAGATCCGAACCCGGGCCGCCAGTAGCAGAGCGCGTGCACTTAACTGCTAAGCCATGGGGCCAGCCCCAGCAGTAAAATTTTTAAGTATAATTATTAAATAATAGAAATACAGTGTATACATCATTCAAAAAACAGAGGAAATAAAAAGGGGATATTGACAGGAAAAGAGATAGTAAGCAAAGAGAAAAAGATAATAAAATGAAAACACAAAATGATGGTATAAATGAGACCAAACATATCAACAATTACACAAAAAATTTTAAATAGCTAACAATTACTGAGTGCTTACTACGTGCTGGGCACTGTTCTAAGAACTTTTATCTTATTTAATCCCCACAATAACCCTGTGATGAGGTACTAATATTATCTTCAACTTTTTTACAGATGAGAAAATCAAGGTGTGGCGAGATTAAGGAAATTGTACAGAATCACACAGAGATGAGTGGAAGAGCCAGGATTAGGACCCAAGTGGTCTGGTACAAGCTCTTAACCACCACACCAAAGCTGGAGTAAGTTTACCTACAGAGTGATTAAAAAATAGAGTTGTGCTGTTTATAAGTGACACACCTAAAACTAGATGACAAACAGAGCTTGAAAAATAAAGGTATTAAAATATATATCAGTGGGATAATAATATGTTGGGAAAACTGAACTAATGGCAAAAAGTGTTAAAAGGGCTAATTTTGAACACTCCATCCTAATAAAAGGAATAATCTGTTATGAACATAAAACAATCATCAACTTGTATGTCTGTGACTGCATAACTTTGAAATACATAAATCAAAAACTGATCAAATTATAAGAAGAATTCTTATGATCATAGAGAGATATTAGAAATGATTGATCAACTAACATTAAGATATAAAAGATGTGAAGAACAAAATTAGCATGCTTTGTCTAAGATATATAGTATTCCATACCCTAAGAATAGAGAATAAACCTTTTTATAAGGTCCCCATAAATCATTTGGCAAAACATATTTATCATGTACAAGATGTCAGAGGAAATTTCAGTATTAATGTACAATAATAAGGAAACAGATTAATAAACATGGTAATAGAATGCTATAGAGTAGAGGTTGGCGATCTATGGCTTATAGACCAAAGTGGCCCACTGCCTGTTTTGTATGGCTTATGAGCTAAGAATGGTTTTTACATTTAAAAATGGTTAGAAAATTTTTTTAAATGTTTTGTGACATGTGAAAATTACATAATCTTAACAAATAACTTTGAAGGAAAAATGCAAGCTGTGGGATACACGCAGTATGATGCATTATGTAAAGTTTTAAAACAAAATAGTATTACATATTCTTTATGGTTTCCAACATACATAGAATTTAAAAACATGTATAGGAATGGTAAATATCAAGTTCTGGGTGGTAGTCACCACTGAGGAGGAAAGAATAGGATTAAGGTGAGTACAAGATATTTGAACTGTGGCAGTACTGCTTGATTGCTTAATAAAAAGCCTGAAATATATATAGCAACTTGTTCACTAGAGCTTGGGAGGAAGTACCACATCTTCCTTATGTTTATAATTTCATATTACAAAATCCATTTAATAGAATATATGGGAAGTGAGGAAGTGAAAAAGGAAATTGTAAACCATTCTTTTGAGGAACTATGTAGGAAAGGATGGAGCATTGATTGGTTAGAAGTCACTATTGGGTGTCAAAGTCTTGCTGTAAAGGAGTTTGTTGATGACAAATTCTTAAGTTTTTATTGTTGTTTTCTGTTGAAAGAACCAATGACTGCATCTGCAGTACAGTGTGTAACTTGTCAGTGATCATGAATGATTACATCTATGAGCAATCAATTTTCTTTAATGCTTTACAGCCAAATGGTCCCCTTGTTAAACATAGCTTGCTGTTGCCTATCTATCCAACATATAAAATGTCTGCTCCTCAGCAGGGATCCAACAGCTCATCCACTCAGTGCATACTGGCCCACACCCAAGGAAAATCAGGTCTGACAGCTAGAACATCC